AAAAAAAAAAAAAAAAAAAAAAAAAAAAAAAAAAGTTCCACACAATTACAATGATTGACTGTAAATGCTGATAAATGTTAATATATTGCTCAGTCCTTGCTTATGAGACTATGGCAATGACAGTAACAAACGTAAATTGGTCAACATTGCCACATAATGGTATCGCAATGAGAGTTGTAAGACTGTGAATACTATAAACACTGACAACACCTGAGAGATTAGAGTAGAGATCAGTAGCGGTCATATTGTGGTCTCTGATGAGATTTATATCCTTGGTTGTAGCCTGGAGGGCCCGATTGATAACCACTTCCCTGCCCGGAGTGCCTGTCCCTGTCCCGGTCTCTGTCCCTGTCATGCCAGTGTTGCTGTCCATGCTGGTCTCCTCTCCAACCCCGGCCTCCTCCCCAACCTCGGCCTCTTCGGTCCTGGTACCTAGATGGAGACCAGACAACAATTGAGCTCCAGAAACTGGTTCTAATACTTGCATTACATGGAACCAGACAGCAGGGAACTCTGTTACACATCTAAATGGCCAACATATCTGCAGAGTAAATCCAGCTGGGACCACAGAGTTTCCCTAATGTCTTATCCAAATTTAGCACACCAGATTCCACCTTAACATGATAATTAAGAAATCAGGCTAGTGGACAAAACAATACACGACAATCAATAATGACGCTATCATCAGCATCACAAACCATACCGTCATTGTCATAATGCATACAGCGATAACCCTAACCATGCAAAAGTATGTAGATTACAGATTATGAAGTAGCTGTCTCGGCCAAGTTTGAGGGCTAAAGTCCCATTACCTGTCCCTGCCTCTGTTTCCACCTCCACGACTCCTCCAGTTCTCCACAATGGGTGGGGGGTCAGCTGGACGGTTCCGATACTGTTGGTATTCTTTATCGTCCGATGAAAATCTGTTGGCAAACAACTCCTCGTACTTCTGCTGGTTGTCCGTCGTCTCGGCCATACTGCAACGACAGATGAAACGCTACAGAAGCACTTTATATCACAACAGCTAATGCTAACGACACGGCTAGCATCAGGTTGTAATATGTTAACTGGCGGATATGCGTGTTGTGATGTGTCTTGACAAATCCCTCGTGCGGAATAATACAAACTAAAATGGTCTGAATGAGATTAGCTAGCGTTAACTAAAGATTATTACAGCACAAAAGCACAATAAAAACATTTTAACGCTGGAAAACATACCTTCACACGACTCGAATGTTGCTTGTGTCGCTACAAACTAACATGTCCGGAACCGACTTCTTGCACAAGTGCGTCGCTGAAATGCTTCCCCCGAAAGAGAGGACCACATTTTCATTGTTCCGATAGCGCGCGCACCAGCCAGTGATTGATTGATTGATAGCTGTCACCTGCCAGTTACTTTATACCAACGGTCAGGCCGACCTTAAAACAAAGATAATAAGACATATTTTGACCTTATGATGTTGATGCGCTAATTTAAATGAGCTTCAACTGTCAACGCTACATCGCTTAATTGAGGAGAAAGTGCCAACTGCTAAAAAAAAAAAGCCATCGTTGTCGCTTAGAACATGTAAGTGCACTTTGATTCAATAAACCAGCCGTCGTTGTTGGTTCTTTATTGACAGCATGTTGTATTAATTCATTTTCTGTTTAAATTAATTCGTGGTTTCGGACCACAGTTTGGACAAACCGCCTACCACAGGTCTGAAGAGTGTGGGTGGCAGTGAGCAGGTGGAAGCCGCTCCGTGTCGCTGCTGCTGCTCTTCACACGACACACAATCCCGGTGGGGAGATAGAAACTCTGCGCAGCGAGCGAGCGGCACATTTTAACTTAATGCATGAGCGCCGAGTGTTACAACAGCAAGGAAGGAACCACTCGGAAGTGTGATTTATTTTGTCGCATACCTGAAGAGGAAAACCAAACAAGCAAAGAGAAAAAACTTCCTGAAATGAACGGTGTTCTGTGAGAGAGAGAGAGAGAGAGAGAGAGAGAGAGAGAGAGAGAGAGAGAG